TTGAAAATTGTAGCACAAAGCCTGCCATGGTAGCACTGCCTGTCATCCCAGCACTCGGAAGGTAGAGGCAAGCACGTGCACGCACGCGCGCGTGCGCGCGCGCGCGCACACACACACACACACACACACAAACACACACACACACACACACACGTAATTCCAGCACTTGCCCAGTGTAAATAGGAGGATCACCTTCTATATAGCAAATTTGAGGGCAGCCTGGGCTACCAGAGATTCTTCTCAAAACAAAACAAAACAAAACACAATAATGGGAGAAGCTTCTCCTCCCACCCCCCTGGTGACTGGTCAAAGTGTTAAGAATGAGTGGCTGCTGAGTGCCCAGCCCTAATGGGATGTCTGTATCAGCTCCATACCCTGCAAGGCCACCGGACATTATAGATGAGAAGGTACAGCTTTGAAGAGCCAGAGTGCAGTGTACGGCTGTCTTCTAGATGTGCATGGCTGTTGCCATCATGAGCTCACCACAGCTGTAGTTACCTGTGCACTATAGAGCCATTCCAGCATGAACAGGGTGCAGGCTCATGAAGCCTCACTTCGAGTTGAGGAGCTGGCAGCTGCTGGCTGCTGGGGGAAGGAGAACCATCTCTCTGGGAGTATGACCACCCGGGGGTTGCCTATGCTCTAGAGCCTGTTCCACATCCACACAGTGAGGACCCATAGGTTAATCAAAACTCATTTTAGAGGCTGGAGAGGTGGCTCAGAGGTTAAGAGCACTGGCTGTACTTCCTGAGGTTCTGAGTTAGATTCCCAGCAACCACATGGTGACTCACAACCATCTATAATGAGACCTGGTGCCTCTTCTGGCCTGTAAGCCTAATGCAGGCAGACAATTGTATATACATAATAAATAGCCTTTTTTAAAAAATCATTTTAAAAGGACATGGAGTTGTTTGGGGGTGTGTTTGGGGAGTACCAGGAGGAGTTGAAAGGTGAGAGTGGGGGGTAGGTATGCTTTTAAAAAAAAAAGTATGCATTGTATGACATTCTCCAGAAAATTATATAAAATAATTAATTTTTAAATATTTATTATATATTTTATATGTATTATATAAACAATTAATTTTATATAATAAAATTATATAAAATAATTAATTATATAAAATAAATTAATATAAAATTAGCACTAGAAATACAATAAAACTCTATGCATACCATAAAATTTAGCATGCTTAAATGTGTGATTCAGTGGCAGAAAGTGCCTTCATGTCATTGTGCGGCCACCACCACTGTCTATCTCTAGAACTCTGCGGCTAATCTTGTATCTACCATGCCCTACCATGTCCATGCTCTGTTGCCAATAGTCTTGACTAAGATAGCCTCCGTGTTCCCAGTTGGAGTGTGGCATTGTGCTGTTGCTGGGCTCTGGTGTGACAGTTCTGAGAGGGCGTTAACTAACATGAATGTATAATTCTATCACACTTGAGAAACTGAGGCAAGGGGCCCCCAAATGTTTACTCCCAGGACAGTCAGAACAAAAGGCTCCAGAACATGACTTTTGACAGATGTGGGGATCCCGGACAGGTGAAGGATGGGTGCTGAGCAGAGAACAGAACAGGTAGAGCTGGGCATGCTGGAGAGAGTCAGAAGCTGTTGCGCACCTGAGTGGAGAGCAGGCACGAGAGCCCAGCTTTCACACATCCTGATGGAGCAGTGTGTCTGTAGAGATGCTGCCATTCTCAGTTATTGCTTCCGTCCTTTTGGCTAACAGTCAGTTAGCAGACCATTTGGGCAGAGGCTGAGGAAGCCTCCCCAAGATGGAGCTATATGTGACAGCAGAAAGGTTGGTTGCAACTTGTCCCCTATTAGAGCCCTGCAGCCCTGCTGAGTGACATGGCTCCTGAGTAGTGTGACTAATGGATTTTCTCTGCTGGTTTGCCTCCCATCACCAAGCAGCTTGACAGCATAAAAGCCAAAGTAGACAGCAGTAAGGTGGCCTGACCGGGGAGCAAAGGAAAGGAGAGGAGACACAGGTCCGCAGACATGTTCTCCCTGTTCAGTGGGTTGACTTTCCTGGCTGGTTCCTTCCTGCTCTTGAAGCTTGCTGCCTTCTGCTGGAAAAGGAGCCACCTTCCTCCTGGCCCATTCCCTTTCCCTCTCCTTGGGAATTTATGGCAACTAAACTTTCAGCTGCACCCAGATACTCTGTTCCAGGTATGGGGCAGGACCTCAAGTGTGAGGCCCTAAAGGGATAGACAGAAACGTTGTCTTCTCAACCTAGGGACATTGGAGATAGAAGCAAGAATTCATGCCGAATGTGGGACTGGGGAGACTCTGGTCTTGTAACTTGTCAGCTCTGAAGCTTTGAGCCTTGGTTTCCTCACCTGCCAAATGCAGGGGCATCCAGAGGTGGTAAAAATGGAGTATAAAGACCACGCAGGAAGTGGTATGGGACAAGAGGGGGCTGGGGGCTGGTTCAGGCAGTACAGGAGAAGCTGAGCCGGGAAATGTAGGCTGTTTGTATCATGTGCAATACTAGAACACACCCATTCCCAGGACTGATGGGGTGTGAGCACTGAGCCCCCCGACTCCAGGGAGTCTGTGACCCTGGGCTCTGTCCTGAGGAGTGGGTAAGTGCTCTAAGCAGGTACATCAAAAGTTGAGTGTTGGGTGCAGGGAGGCAGGGATTCATGCCAAGAGGGCAATCCCAGGGGGCTTCACGTACAACCATGAGATTCCTGGTCTCTCCACAGCTGGCTCAGACTCACGGCAGTGTGTTCACTGTGTGGTTGGGCTCCACACCCATCGTGGTGTTAAGTGGCTTCCGGGCGGTGAAGGAAGCCCTGGTCTCCAACTCAGAACAGTTCTCGGGGAGACCCCTCACCCCATTCTTCAGAGACCTGTTTGGGGAAAAGGGTGAGCCTGCTCTTCTTATGGGGGAGGGGGAAGGTGGCTGAGCATCACTGCACTCGAGAGGACGAGGGTTACTGAGGACTGTGGATAGACAGGGCTGTGACCAGGGAGATACACTCAACACGCCTCCATGTGAGGGGAGATGCTAAAAAGACCTGTATCCAAGCCCAGCTTAGCTGCTTCCTGGCTTCATAGCCTTGAGCCAGTCGGCGTCATGCTCCAGCCCTCAGTGTGCTCATATTCAGTTAGAAAACTGCTGTCACTTTCCCGGGTGTTGGAGAACAAGCCATCCAGTATACCTGAGAGAGCACACGACTTTGCCATCTCAGAAAGTGCCTTGTCCCTCTCATCCTCCACTTGGGCCTCTTTGTCTCTTTCCTCCTTCACTTCTGTAGGGACTTGGGACAGAATCAGACTGGAGGGCTGGGGATAGGCAACCTAAGAATCCTAGGCTCACTGACCACTATCCCACAATGCCCCTCTTCTCTTGGTCAGAGCAGCCGTCCCGCACAGGTTGAGAAGGTGATTTTTTTGAGGGTCTGCTCTCTAGGTCTGGTGGAGTTGCCTGGGGGTTGGGGATAGGAGCTAGTGGTTATCATCTCTCCCTCCTCGGGCCCAGGTGTTATCTGCAGCAATGGACATACTTGGCGGCAACAGAGACGCTTCTGTCTGATGACTCTTCGAGAGCTGGGCCTTGGCAAGCAGATGCTGGAATTGCAGCTGCAGAATGAGGCAGCAGAATTGGTTAAGGTGTTTCACCAGGAGCAGGGTGAGAGGAAGTGGGCCAGGGCAAGCTCGCCCTAACCCTGTGCTGTGCCTCCCTTCACTCATGCATATCCCTGTAGAGGTGTGTGTGTGTGTGTGTGTGTGTGTGTGTGTGTGTGTGTGTGTGTGTTCGTGTGCACGTTTGTGAACATGCACTTGCAGTGTGCGCATGTGCGGTGTGTGTGTGGTATGTGTGTATGTGTGCATGTACGTGTGTGCTTTGTGCCCCTGAAGCCTAAGAACATTACTAGTGGTTTTCATTTTGAGTTTCCCCAAGGTGAGTGGACACAGATCTAAGAATGTCTAAGTAAGTGGAAAGCCAGATCTGTTTTCAGTCAACACCCAGGGCCTTTCATAGCGCCAGCCTTGTGTACATGTTGATTTTCCTTCTGAACTTTCGTAGGCCATAACCCTTCCTTCCCTGTGGGGAACCCATACTTACCCTTTCAGGCTTCAAAAGATGTAAGAAGCTCTCCCTGAAATCCAGGTGGTGGTGCACACCTTTAATCCCAGCACTTGGGAGGAAGAGGGAAGAGGGAGATCTCTTGAGTTTGAGGACAACTTGGTCTACAGAATGAGTTCTAGGACAGCGAGGGCCACACAGAGAAATCCTGTCTTGGGAATAAAAAAAAATTCTCCCTGAATCCTAGACACAGCTAGTTCCCACCCCACCTTCTTCCTTATAGTGACATGCCTGAACCATGTTATGTGTCTAGTCAGCCTCTCTCAGCGTCTCCTAGAACATGGCCCACAGAAGTATTGGGAAGTCCCTGGTAGATGCTTGAATGAGGGATGAGAATGAATTAAGTAAAGGAATGGCAGTGTTGGGGGCTGGATGAAGGCTGAGGTAGAGTTCTTTGTGAGTCTGCACACTGAGCCCTGCCCCTCTCCTCACAGGTAGACCCTTCGACCCTCGGGTTCCTATCGTTCAATCAACAACAAGAGTGATTGGGGCTCTAGTGTTTGGCCATCACTTCCTTTCAGAGAAGCCCATCTTCCTGGAACTAATTCAAGCCATCAACCTTGGCCTAGTTTTTGCCAGCACTATTTGGCGACGGGTAATTGGCTTTTGGGGAGGCTGGTATGCAGGCCATGGGAATGTCCGGATCTAAGTTGGGCAGGAGCCTTAGTCAGGGTCTGGCTGGGAGGGTAAACATAGGCTGGGCCTGACTCTGGGTTCCCCAGTCTCTCATTTCTATGTAGACAATCTGGGGCTCTCCACATAAAAAGGCATCCCTGAGCTTTTTAAGTCAGAGACCCAGCCCATTTTGGAGCCCCTAGTATAGTGCTCAGTTGTCCTGACTCAGTTGGGACTGGTGCCTGAGTAAACCCTGAGTGGATCATTCTCTCTGTAGCTATATGACATGTTTCCCTGGGCCCTCCGCTACCTCTCAGGACCCCACCAGAAGATATTTCAGTACCATGAGACTGTGAGGGGCTTCATCCACCATGAGATCATCAGGCACAAGCTCAGGGCACCTGAGGCGCCTAAGGATTTCATCAACTGCTACCTGTCACAAATCACCAAGGTTTGCCTGGAGCACAGGGATTGAAGGACTGTGCTCCGGGGTTGTCCCTCATTTCTCAGCCATGAGCTCTGTTTCTCATGCTTGGTTCATTCTGCAGACTTATGGGCACCTTGGAACTTGGGTTAAGAAAGGGTCTTTCCGGGTCAAAGCTGGCTTCTCTAAAGATGGTAGGCTGTAAAGCAGAGGGCATAGATGGAGGGGGCAGAACTTGACAACAGTCCCCTACTGAAGCCAATCTAGTCCCAGGACTCAGGCCCTCCAAGGGGTCTCACCCCCAAGAAGTTCTGGTCCTATAAGTCTTGGGACAAGCCAGACCTCAGGAAGACAACAGGGCTGTGCACAAGGAACCTTTAGCGCCAGGGCTGCTCCTTCTCCCCACCCCACCAGGCCATGGATGACCCTGTCTCCACATTCAACGAAGAGAACCTGATCCAAGTAGTGATTGACCTGTTTCTGGGAGGCACCGACACCACGGCCACCACACTGCACTGGGCACTCATATACCTGGTCCATCACAGAGCCATCCAGGGTAGGGTGCCCTCAGTTATACCCTGCCTAACTTCCCTAGTCTGTTTGTCCCCAGGTGGCATTTGGCTTCAGGCACCACGCCCCCATCACTCTGTTCTGTGGCTGTGGGGGGTAGGGTCCGGTTCTCATCTCTGTGGCACAGGGATCGTTGATAACTTTGAGTCAGACATGAGGGATTTCAAATGCCAGCCTGTGACTTGCTACATGACCTTGGGAAATCATTCTACCTCTCAGAACTGATGTAGCCAGGGAAACTTTGCTTCACTCATTCAGTAATGACTCAGCACCTACTAAGTGCCAGGCTCTGGGTTAATGCTAAGATCACAGTTGTGAAGGACAAAGGTAGCTGGAGTTCTCCAAGGAACAAACCAGGTTATAACCAGCTGTGAGGGCAAAAGTACCTGCCCTGTGGAGCCTTGGTTTCCTTATGTGACAGATGAGGCTATGAGACTCACATATGGGGCTTCCCCCATGGAGCAGCTGGTGGTGGGGTGGGGATATGACCTAGGCTGTGAACTTCAGCAGCTGTCTCTGGGTAGAGGAAAACTGGGATGGGGCAGGGAGGTTGGGCCACAGGCATCTTCCCAAGGCCCTCACTGAGCCATCTACAGAGAGAGTGCAGCAGGAGCTGGACGAGGTGCTGGGTGCTTCGAAGGTCATCTGCTATGAGGATCGAGAGCGCCTGCCCTACACCCGAGCCGTTCTCCATGAGGTGCAGCGGCACAGCAGCGTTGTGGCTGTGGGCGCTGTGCGTCAGTGTGTGACGTCCACCTGGATCCATGGTTACTACATGCCCAAGGTAAGGAGCCTGGAGTGGAGCCATGCCAGACACAGCAGCTCCAGGAAGCACTCCCTGCCCAGCACAGCCACTTGCTACAGCTCTGCCAACCTGACAGCTATCAGTCAGTCAGTCACTTGTGGCATTTGGGATGTGGCTATGATAGATTGTAGTTGTTGGTAATCTCAAAGTTTGCTGCGTGTGTGTGTGGTTCAGGGGTATCTTTTTTTTATTTTTATTTTTTATTTTTTTATTAGTTCAAATTAGGAACAAGCTTGTTTCAGGGGCTCCACAAAGTCCACCACATCATCTTGGGCTGGGCCTAGGCCCTTCCCCATGTGTCCAGGGCAAGAGCCCTTCACATGGGATGGGCTCTCAAAGTCCCTTCTTACACCAGGGAAAAATACTAATCCACCACCAGGGGCCCCGGTTCAGGGGTATCTTAAGATACTTCTTTCTAGTGTTTGTTGTCCACACATGTTTTATGTAGTCCCACCATGTGCAAGGCCCTAACTTTAATGGCCAATAACACAAAATAAGCCAACAAATAAGTCAGTAGTACATGCCTGTAATCTCAGAACTCAGGACATAGAGACAGGGACATCGGGAGTTCAAGGTCATTTTCAGCTGCATAGTCAAGGCTGGGCTAGACTATATGAGATCTTGTCTCAAAAACCAAAACTAGGGGCTAGGGAGATGGTTCAGTGGTTAAGAGCACTTGGTCTTGTAGAGGACGCTGGTCATTACTGAGGGAAAGTCAAGGCAGTGCCAAACTGAGAGAACTGGTACATTCTCCCAGTCAGGAGCAGAGGGCAAGGCACCCAATGCACGTCAGTGCCCGGATTGCTTTTTCTACCCTTAACAGACCAGGATACCTTGCCTAGGACATGGTGCTACCTTACCCACTTGGGTAGGTCTATCCACCTTCATGAATATAATCAGAATAATCCCCACAGCCAACCTGAAGGCCCAGCTCCCAGGGGAGGCTAGATTTTGTTAAGTTGGTAGTTAACAGTACTCAACACCCTGCTTCAACAACCAAGTAACAGCAACAGACCCGCCACAATGGATGCTCTCCAAGATGCCTCTGCCCAGACATTCTACGTGATGGTGAACTTCAAACTGCCTTTTTCTGAGGACAGGCCAGAATGGAGTAGATGGTTCTAGCAGTCACAGTCTAGGTCATATCCCCACCCCACCACCAGCTGTTCCATGGGGGAAGCCCCATATGTGAGTCTCACAGCCTCATAGCCTCATCTGACACATAAGGAAACCAAGGCTCCACAGGCCAGTAGGAAGCAGATGGTTCTTGTAATCGGGGGAAAGGCACGTTGGCTTTTCATGTGTGGATATGGGTGTTCTGACTCCGCTCCATGAACTAAGATCAATCAGTGCTTTGCAAGGCGCTGGATATCATTTGGGATGGGATGCTTGAGAGACCATAAATAGCCTCTTTGCAAATGCTCTTTCATCTGAAGGGGATTACTAAGAGCTCGAGTTGGGCAAGAGAGATGATTCAGCTGTTAAAGGCTAAGGCTCTTAATCAGAAGGACGAGAATTAATGACTTGGCTGAGGTGTGGCTTAGAGGTAGAGTACACATGAGTGAAGCCTTGGGTTTATTTCCCAACACCACGGGGGGGGGGGGGGGGGGGGGGGGGGGGGGCTATGGAGTGGTGGTCACAATGCATCTGGCTATTTAATCTCAGACAGAGACCCAGGGAAGTTCCCAGCACTGTAACGGGAACACATACAGATTACTCAGGCACTAGGGGAAACACATGCCTCCCCAACACTTCTGTGTAAAGTCACAGAGTGACCAGATCTGGGTGTCTTGTTGGTTCAGAGCTAGAGCCTGGCCTATTCCCTCAGCTCAGGTATTGCAGCAACCTCAACAGCAGTGTCTCCCAGAAGCCTTCATGTCAGCTGCCCTTCTGCACTCTTCATCAGTTTTTGCTTGGGATGCAGAGTTCAAGGTCTTCAGAAGTTTTTGTTTTGGTTTGGCTTTAAACTTAAAGCCAGGAGTCAGTCTCCTGGTGCCCGTGTTATATTTGGCCTCATTCTATGGCACTAATAAATAACCCATAGGGTAGGAAGCCTTCACCAGGCTCCTGAAGCTGAGTGTCCTAAGACCTAGGACCATAACTAACCCCCATTCTTCTTCCCCTGGATCTTTTTTATTGCCTCCCTTCTCACTCCTCCCACCATCCTTCCTTCCTGTGCCAGGACTCCAGGGTTAAACCCAGGGCCTTGTGCATGCTAGGCAAGCGCTGGACCACTGAGCTATGTCCCTAGCTGCTCATGGTGTTTCTCTTTAGCTCAGGGTCCACGCGGAAAGAAGCATAAGTCATTGGGGCTGAAGCCTTGACTCTTTCTGCTCCCACTTGCTCAGTGTGAGTCTCTTTTCAGTCACACATTCACCTCACTTGTGAGACAGAGTGGGCACTGGGTTAGGGCTGCAGGGTCGGTAAGGGTTAGGAGTGGGGCTGTGGTGACTGTGAAGATGAGGACATTCTCATGGTCTCCTCTCCCCAGTACTGACCAGCCAAGTCTCCATCTCTGTCTTTCCAACACTTGATCTTTCTCCCTCCCCCCACACCTTTTCATTCCATTCTTGCTTTCCCCCCATAGCGGGCTGCAGTGAATCCGGAGGAATGAGACCCAGCTCCTTAATGGGTGTGTGACTGGAGGGAGGGCCACTGAGGGTCTGCCTGCTAGACCTGGGCACCCTGGCCACCCCCACCCATATACTGGGGTTATTTTAGCCTCAGGCCAAAGCTGGGAACTGGGCAGTCTTCGCCTCCCTGAGCCACACCAGCTCTTCTCTGCAGGGCACCATCATCTTGCCCAATCTGGCCTCCGTGCTGCATGACCCCGAGTGCTGGGAGACCCCTCAACAGTTCAACCCTGGCCACTTCCTAGACAAGGATGGAAACTTTGTGGCCAATGAGGCCTTCCTGCCCTTCTCTGCAGGTATCAGGCACAGTGTTGGGTCCTGGAGTGGTAAGTGGGAAGACAATTAGGACGGACACCGTCCCCTGTTACCCTCTGACCTCCCTCTGCTTCCAGGGCATCGGGTGTGTCCTGGGGAGCAGCTTGCTCGAATGGAGCTCTTCCTGATGTTTGCCACTCTCCTCAGGACCTTTCGGTTTCAGCTACCGGAAGGGAGCCGGGGCCTCGGGCTGGAATATGTCTTTGGGGGTACTCTGCAGCCTCAACCCCAGAAGATTTGTGCAGTGCTTCGCCTGGGCAGCCTCGGCCCTAGGGAGGAGGGCCTATAGTCACCGAGGAGTAAGCAGACTTGCCACTCCAGCCCCTCCCCACAAAGATCGGCAGTCTGTCAGCTCTATAAAATCAGAGGATAGGAAGACGTGGGTTTTTACCTAGCTCAGCTGCCCATAGTTCTCACGCAAGCTCTGATGGTAATTCCAGAAAATGGACTTAGCAAGGATCCAGCAATAGTAACTAACGGAGTTTGGGTAGTTCGGTTCTTAGAAGAGGATGTGGTGGGAGAATCTTTTTGTAAACTGTGAGGATGTGTCACTCTGATTGGTTTTTTAAAAAAAAGGTGAACAGCCAATAGCTAGGCAGGATTTCTAGGCACAGAGGACACTGGGAAGAAGGGCAGAAATGCCAGGATGCAGAGGGAGCAGCGTGGGCAAAATGCAGAGTAAAGGTAACCGAGCACATAAAAGAAAGTAGATTAAAAGATACGGGTTAATTTAAGTTATAAGAGCTAGTTATGAATAAGCCTAAGCTATCGGCCCAGCTTTCATAATTAATGATAAGTCTCCATGTCATTATTGGGGAGCAGATGTTCCCGACAAAAAAAAGTCCGACTATAGTAGGATAATTATGTTTTGGCAGGAGAGGATTTTATAACATTTGGTAAGGTTTGACATTGAATCAATTCCCATCTATCATTTTGGGGAAATCAAGTGGATTCCAAGGGAAACTCTTTCCCACAATACTGTAAACAGTAGTGCACGCAAATGACGTGAAGTGGGGGAGTTGAATGGGGAGCCCACATTTTTTTCTGTCCTCTTCCTGCTCTTCCAACCAGAGGCAAGAAATACCTACACATGTTATCTAGATAACTGTTCCCATCAAATTTTCTATCAAGGATTCTGGATCTACTTTCCTTGAAACAATCCCAGTGCTTTGAAATATTGTGTCTCCAAACAAATCTTATTAAAGAGAAAATTACTTGCATTAAATGGTTATTAAAATAGAAATGAGAAACTACACACCTGCTAGAATTGCTAAAAACAAAAATGACAGTCCTAAGAACTAGAATGCTAGTGACGGCCAGAGTGCTAACATACTGCTGGGGAGGGTGAGAGTACTCACCCACTGCTGGGGAGGGCCAGAGTGCTTACAACACACTGCTGGGGAGGGCCAGAGTGCTCACCCACTGCTGGGGAGGGCCAGAGTGCTCACCCACTGCTGGGGAGGGCCAGAGTGCCCACACACTGCTGGGGACTGTCAAATGGTAAAATCATGGTGGAAAATAATTTGGCTGTTCCTTAGGGGGAAAAAGCATTGCACCACAACCCTGGTCATCTCAGTGCTCAGCAATTTTATCCAGTGAAATTAAATATATGCTTGGGTGAATGTGTATTGTTTGATTCCATTTCTATGGTACTTTTTAAAAAAGTAAAACAAAAGTAATTTTTAAAAAGATAAGTGGTTGCCAAGGTTTAGGAGTTGGGTTGACTCTTAAAATACATGAGTGGAGGTTGGAGAGATAAATTGAAGGGACCAGCTTCCCTTTTGGCAGCCATAACAGCCGAACACGTGCTTCTATGACCTTGTCCTAGACACTAGAAAGTCAGATGCCTGCCTCGTGACAAGGAACCAATCAGAAGTTAGCTGGTGGCGCTATGCTTTACGACCCTGGGTGTGCTTTACGGACAATTGGACAAGCGGACAAGCGCACAGCAATGATGCACAAAGTATAGCAACCACCCTGGGAGGACCTATGGGCCATAACAACCAGTTGACCAATCAACACAGGGCAAGCCCTCCAAGCCTGGAGGCACACCAATCCTGAGCCTGTGCGTACCCCTAGACACTCCCCTTACGCTGCCCTATAAAGATCTGTGCGCAGCGGCTTCAAACTGTCTTTGCTAGCCATCTGTCATGGTGGGTGGGTCAAAGACCCGAGCTAACATGGGGTTAGCTCGTTAAATTACAATAAAGCCTCGTGCAGTTTGCAGCAAGCTCTCGAATCTGCCTGGTGATTGGGGTGACCGAGAACGTGGCCTGGGACCCCGGATACTTGAGTTTTCGGGGGTCTAACAAATCAGCGGTTAAGAGTACTTAGTGTGACAGAGAAAGAGTGCTGAGGTTCCTCCATTTTGTATTCTTGCTAAGGTCATTTCAGGTTTAGCTAGAATTTGATCTCCTTGATAGAAAATTCTGTGGGGGACTGAATATCTCTGTTATGGAATATTTTGGGTCCCAGGCTCTGGCTGCTGTAAACAGGAAGCTCCGGGTCACCATTGTATTGTTAATTAACACTAGTCTATTACTGTTTACCATGGCCTAAGGTGATATACCTCCTAATTTGCATCTCTGTAGCTTAAGCCTTGAGTAGGCCCATACCTGAGCTGAAGACTCTGCCCTGACCAAGAGTTGTTTAGGTAACAGAATCACTTGCCCCTCCTGAGATGATATGGTGTTTCCTGTCTCATCATTAGCTTCGTTGGGTAATTAAAATTCCCTAGTCCACACACCTCCACTCAGAATCGGACCCGGGACTGTACGGCTGGCTCCGTCCACAGTCCTGAAGACATCGGAACAGAATTCCATGAAAAATTACCAAACCCTCTTCTCAGAACTGAAGGTCAAGATACCCAAGCTAACTTACAATTGTTTTGATAAACTGCCTGCTTCTACTACAGAAACCCCTCCAGTTAACTGCTTATCTTAGCTTCTGTTAAACTGCTTGCTTCTGCAAATTTCCCGATGTGGTTTTTGCCTTCAAACAACCCATGCTCTGGACACTCAGGGCTATACCTGGGTCCCTGAATACCTGAGTATAGTCCCAGCCAGCTGGAATAAAGGCTTTCAATTGTCTATAAACGGTGCCTGAGTGGTTATCTCTGGTGGACTCCTCCTAACAACTGCTCTTCCCAGAGGTCGTATGAGTTCGATTCCCAGCATCCACAACTATCTGCACTCCAGTTCCAGGGACAATGATATCCTTTTATGACCTCTGGCACCAGGCATGTACATGGTGCATTGACACACATGCAGGCAAACATATACATAAAATAAACATAAGAATATTTAGTTTAATGAGGGAACTTTCTAGGATGATGGAAATATCCCTTGACAAGTGCACATTGTGGGTGCAGGAAGAGTATATTGTTTTTCTGTCCTCTCCTGCCCCCTTCTGACCAGAGGGCATATATATATATATATATATATATATATATATATATATATATATATATGTTCTCACTCTCTCTACAAACCTGGAACTCTCTGTAAACCACACTGACCTAGAACTCAGAGCTCCACCTGCCTCTGCCACCCAAGTGCTGGGCTGAAAGGTGTGTGTCACCACTGCTCATCTTTAAAAGAAATTATGGAGGGGCAGTATTTCCCTTTCTCTTTTGTTTTCTTGAAAAGATGTGAAGGTTGGGATGTAGTTCAGCAGTAGAATACTGGTACTTAGTACTGTAAAATAAATAAAAATATAGAAGACTTCCCACTGTTGTAAGGTGCTGTCATCAGAACCAAACCAGCAGCATCTGTATGAGATCACCTATGCCTACTTCCCACAGTCCATCTGAGCACATGGTCGACCAGATCCCAACTTTACATTGTAAGCAACAGAGCAGTAAAAACAAACAAACAAACAAACAAAAAACACTGAAATGGCCACTCCATGATGAGTGATATTCTGATCGTATTTTGACAATAAAGCTTGCTTGGAGTCAGAGGGTGGAACTAGCCACTAGCTGACCAAGAGGTTTTGGAGGACTGAGGACAGATAGGAGACAGGAAGTAGTGAGGCGGGGCTGAGAGAGATGGAGGAAGGGAAGAGATAGGAGGCCACTGGTAGCTGCTCTGCTGCTTCTCTGATCTTTCACGTTCTTACACCTGTATTTGACTCCTGATTTTTTTTTTTTAGTGATAAAGACTAATTAGATAAATGCTTCACTATGGTGGTGGTGGGTATTATTGTGAGAAAGAGAAAGAATACCCAGTGGTATATGGAAGAGTTCAGAGCAGAGAAAAAAAACAGCAAGCTGGTCATGGCCAGGACTATTTGCAAGAGAATCTAGAATAGTGGAGGCGGGGGAAACCTTGTGGTATATATAGAAAAACAAAACAAAACAAAAAAAAAACGGTGTTTAGGAGGAAGGAAGCCTGTGGACCACCTTTACTTCTGGCACTTGGGAGGCAGAGGCAGGCAGATCTCTGTAAGGAGGCTAGCCTGGTCTACATAGTTAGCATCTCCAAAATAATAAAAATAATAAAATTGTAATGTCCTCTTGAAGAATCACTCCCTTCCACAGCATGGTTAATTTATCTCTTCTGACTAGTTTTGAAGTCTGTTTTTCAGCTCTCAGGGGAGGCGACACTTGCTTGTCTCCCATATCCATTTACTTGGATCTTTCTCATCTTTTCACCTGGACATTGCGTCTGTCTTTGATGTGAGGTACATCTTCTGGAGGCAACAAAAATCCTGGTTGTTTTCACAATCTGTTTGACTATTGAATTGGCCTATTGAAGACAGGTGGCCAAGCCCGGCTTGTTAGGGTTGCCAGTGTACAGGCTCAGACTCCAACAATTTCGGTATCACTACCTTTGAAAAAACGACCAACGGCTGGGGATGGCTGCAACTAAAGCATGGGGGATGCGGTGGCAGAAAACAGCCCGGCCGGGAATTTCAGTTCGGGTTAACGGTCCGAGCTCTGTTCTTATTATGATGACATGAAGTGGTTGAGAGGCACGACAAGAGACAAGTTCTATTCGGGCAAGTCATTTCACCTCTCGGAGCCTCGGGAGCACTGTGAAACGGCGTCTTGTGATTAAATGTAATAACCCGAGGGCGTCTGATATACACAGCGGTACTCCAATGTCCCCGGCCACTCTCACCGGGGGGCTTCCCAGCTGGAGAGGCGGCCGGCCCCCCCCGGTTCCGTCTCCAGGTGGCGCTCTAGGCTGCTGCCCCGCGCGCTGTGCGCTTCCTTCGCCCCGGAAGTGGTTCCGGGGCTGGGGTTGGTAAGGTCGGGCCATGGTGGGGCAGAGGTTGGGAAGATGGCGTTGCGAGGTTGGGCACAGCGAGGCTGGGGCTGCGGTCAGGCGTGGGCGCCTCCCGTGTTCGGCGGCTGCCCGGAGCTCTCTGCGGCCCGGGCCCCGCGGCTGCTCGGACGCAGGTAATGGCTGCCGCTTCCGGCTTCGCAGTTTTCCCTTGAGCAGGGGCCGCCAGCATCCTTGCGGGGAGGCGGCGGCGGCGGCGGCCGGGGCCGGGGCCGTCTGGGGCTCGGGCTCTCTCCACCGTTGACGAGTTCGTCCCAGAGTTGCCTCCCCTCCGCCACGCTTTGCCTGGGTGCTTGGCTCCCTTCTCGCTTCTGAGGGTGTCGCCCCGGCCCGGGCGCGCGCGGGGCTGGCCCAGCCCGGCCCAGCTCTTCTCCCCAAGTCTTTCCTATTAATTGCGAGCGACCTGGTGGAAGGCGAGCTAACTCCTGAGGGCCCATTGCGTGTCCCGCTCATGTTCTCGAGAGGAAAAAAATACTGAACCCGCTTTTTAGTGGAGCAGTCGCCGAGCTGGCGGGGTGGCTGAAGTCTGATTTCATGCCCTGTGGCTGGCAGTCGTAAAGCCCGGGTCCCACCCGGGTCCCACGCAGAAAGCATCCGGACAATACAGACCTGCCCGAGAGAGGTCTGATGAGACTCAGGTGTTGATTGGTGGCTCCCGAAAGGAAAGTCACCCTGCTACTGCCGAGGGGAACCACATGGCCTTCCCTGGCCGGCCGATTTTGCATTAAGTGTAATAGAAGAGGAATTCTTCAACAGTTGAAGAACTCATTTTGATTTTGAAATTTCAACCAGGGATTTCAACTTTGCGATTTCTACCTAATTTGATGGGGCGGTTACTCCAAGGAACCTGAAATCGTATACCGTCTAATGAAGGCTAGCCAGTGGTAAATAATTAAGATTCATTCAGCATGGTGAAACCACCACCTAGTCTTAATTCACCAGAGAGTGGGCACAGGCCTGTAATCTCAGTTCTCAGTAGTCTGGAGCAGGAGCCTGGGGAAGACCTGTATAAAAAAAATAAGTAAGTAAATTAAAGTCACCTGGGCTGTTTTGTAGAGTTTCCCAGGTACCACCCAAAATCAGAATCAGGAAGATAGATGATAAAGCTGGAAGAACCGGGATTTTTTTTCTTTTTTTTTTTTTTTTTTGTAAGCTGCCCCATGTGAAGTTCATCAGCATTTGACAGTGTAGCCTAACAGTGAAGTTTCCATGACCCAGGGTGACATGGTTCTTCAGGCATTAAGCTTAAACAGCCTGGTATGGTCGGACATCCTTGTAAGGGTGATCAGGAGTTTAAGGCCAGCCTGGGTAGCATAAGACCATGCTATTAATAAAAGACATAGGAAAAAAAAGTTAACAGGTGGAGCTAGAGCAGTCAGTTGGAAGTGACTAAAGATTTCAGTGATCATGTTGATCTGCTGTAATGGCTTTGGGAAAAGGCCGCAAAGAGTGCTCTCTCCCTTCATTAGCAAGGAACTGCTAGTAACAAACAGTTCTGGGATAGAGTTCATTGGTAGAGTGCTTGTCTAGCATGCACACTCTCCAGTAAGTCTACACACAGAATTTCTCAAAACAGTACAGTCCGCTATGGTGGTTCAGGCTGGTAATCCCAGCACCTGGGAGGTGGAGATTGTAGGATTGACTGTAAGGCCAGCATGGATTACTTGAGACCCTGCCTTATCCCGCACCCCTTAACTGCCCCCCCCCTCATGTGGTGTTAAAGATTTATATGGACCGGACACCCTGAAAGTGACATTCTTGAGGTTGCATGGGAAAATACATTGGGTGAGAATGTGGGTGGCCTGAAGTACTGGCTTTGCCCTGTCTCTCCAAGTCCAGACTTACTAGGGAGTGGGAGTTCTTTCTTTGCAATCTTTAGTCAGTTTTCAGTTACTGTGGTTCTGTAATTGACATGCAGACTGGCCTAGGCCATGTGGCTCTAAAGAGGGCCCAAGAATTTGCATTTAACAAACATTTTCTGTGGTGATATACCAAGTTGGAAGATTTATATTATATGACAGATTTCAGGAGCCCACAAGTACTAAAATACTTATTATTTGCTCTTTCACTAGAAACAAAAAATCATTCAGACACTTAAGTTTGAAAGTAGAAACTTACATAATTTTCCAGTTGGATGAAATTCGAGGGAAGCAAATCATTGATTGCGGCACCTCTGTGGGTTACTTTTGTTAGGTTTAAATGACAGTCTATAAAAAGTTACAAAGTGGTAAATCAGGCCTATTCTTTTTCACTCTGTTAACTCAAGATGTGTTTCAAGAAAATAATCTTGGCCTTTAAGAGTTGATACAGAGCCAGGTGTGGTGACTCACAATAGTGATTCCAGCACTCAGGAAGTGGATCCTGCAAATTCAAGGCTAGCTATGTCTACATAGCAAGTTCCTGGCCAGTCAAAGCTCCATAGCAAGATTCTGTCTCAGAAACAAAACACAAAGTAGCGAGGGTATGTAGAATTCCAACCCCCCCTCAAAAACTTGTTTTTAAGTGGAATGATTCTTCTCAACCGAGTGTAGACACATCTGTCCATTTGAGTACTAGGCTATTTCTTCTCAACTTTGTTAATTAACAGTGCCAACCTGTATGTATGTTTAAGTTATATTTATACTTACATGTGTAAAAATAGTTTATATTAACATTACTTGTAATGACATCATTTAGCCAACAATACATGGATATGAGTTTTCTATTAAAGTTATGGCCTTAGGTTTGAGAGATGGCATAGGTTAAGAGCACTGGCTGCTCTTTTAGAGAACCCTGGTTCAAGTCCCAACATTCACATGGCAGCTCCGGGGGGATCTGCCACCTGGGTTCCTCAGGCACCTGACATGCACATGGTACACAGATACACATGTAAGTAAGACATTCATACACATAGACAAAAACGTTGTTTAAGAAGCTTTGTTTCCAGCTTTCCTCTTATTTTTGGTAGATTATTTTCCACTTTAGTACTCATCTGAATGAGTAAAACTAAATGTCTTTTCTTTAACTCTAGAGTTTCAGTGTCATTTTCAACCTTCAGAATTTTGATTTCAATGCAGAGGTAATTTTTGTTAGAATTGACTGTTTTTTTCTGGATATGGTGGTACAACCCTGTAATCCAGTACTCAGGAGTCTGAGATTCAAGGGTCAAGAATTAAAGGGCCGCCACTTTAAGCCACAATAAAACCCTATCTTAAAAGGAGAAAGACTGATTGATAAAATTAAACTGTTGGATTCATATCCTTTCTAATTCTTGTTCTGGTAAGAGAAACCAGTAGTACTGGGCTTCAACTTTAGATCTGTATAATGGATGCCTTCTGGTAATGACCCTTTGGTTTGGTCCAAAGTGACATTGCTTGTTTTGATTACTTATCACTTTATTTATGAGATTTATTTACTTTTGCACTTTAAAATCATTGAATGTTGGAGAGATAGCTCAGCAATTAAGAGCACTCACTGCTCTTACAGAGGACCTGGGTTTGATTCCCAGACCCACATGACTGCTCATAATTTTCTGGAACTTTAGTTCCAGGGGATACAATACCTTTTTCAGGTCTCTGCTGGCACTGGGCATGAATGCACAAACATACATACAGGCAAAATATCCACATACATAAAAATAAAGCTTTTGGGACTGGAGAGATGGCTCAGTGGTTAAGAGCACTGGATACTTTTCTAGAGGACCCAGGTTCAATTTCCAGCACCCACATGGTAGTTCACAAATTGCCTGTAATGCCAGTCCTAGAAACCGGTTACCCTCTTGTGGCTTCCACAGGTACCAGGCAAACATGAGTTGTATAGACATGCAGACAAAACACTCATCACATAATTAAATTTAAAACAAGAATAAAGCTTTAAAAAATCATCACTTAGGGATTCATTTGACTGTGAAACTGATGGTGATTTAGATAAATGGTAGTTACTTATCTACGATGTTTTGAGGGGAGGAAGTGTTGCTGTCTTCGCTCTGTAGTTCCAAAATGTTAAGGTATAAGTGTAAATTCCTTGATCTTTCTCTTGTCTTTAAAGATAAATGCTCTAGCTTTAGATATTACATACTTAGTAAAGCTGGAAGAAGGTGTGTGTGTGTGTGTGTGTGTGTGTGTGTGTGTGTGTGTGTGTGTGAGAGAGAGAGAGAGAGAGAGACAGAGAGAGACAGAGAGAGACAGAGAGAGAGACAGAGAGACAGCGAGACAGACAGAAGATAGACAGAAACTAGTGATATGTAATTTATTCAAAATTCTGGATAGTGAGCTGACCCGAGTTAGTGAGAGATAACTGACTCTGGTCTGACAGATGGGGAATCTGCATAAGACCTAACTAGATTCCCTTAATATAGGTGACAATGGTGTGACTGGACAATATATGAGGTCCAGGATCTAACACTAATGCACAAACTGACTTTGTGGAGCCCATTCTATATGGAGAGATACCTTGCCCAGCCTAGACACAGGTGTGTGGGGTTTGGAGAGGTGTCTTGGTCCTGCCTCAATGAGATGTTGTGACAGACTTAGTAGACTTCCTGGGGGAGGCCTTACCCTCTCTGAGGAGCAGATGAGAGGTTGGTGTGTGTGTGGGGGGGGGGGGGGGGGGGGGGGGGGGGGGGGAGTGGAAGGAGAGGGAGGGGGAACTTGGATTAGAATGTAAAAATAAATTAATTACAAAAAGCAGAACAAATTCTGGATAATGTGACACATTGCATTCTGAAGGCTGGGAAAATGAAGGTCTGGGGTTGGCTGTTCAGTGCTTTTGCTTTTCAGACTGATAGCTGTCACTGAAGGGAGTTCATAGCATTGAAGGTATTTTAGAGCTATTTAGGGCTGACTTAGCATTGGTCGAATAAGTAGATAGCCTGAAATCAAATTGTTAAATGTAATTCAGGCATGAAGGAGGGGACTAGAGTAGGAACAAAAGGCTTTGTTTCTTTATTTTGAGACATAGTCTTACACAGCTCAAAGTGACCTCAAACTGCATATGTAGCCATCCTGCCTCTCTCCATCTCTTGAGTGCTGGGACTACAGGTGTGTTTTACCATCCCTGGTTTGTGCTTTGCTGGGGATTGAGCCCAGACCAGGCATGTATGTTAGTCAAGTGGTCTACTGACTTATATCTCAGTCCCTCCACCTTACTTTCTTCTTTCTCCTCTCTCCCTCCCTCCCTCCCTTTCTTTCTAAACCAAACCAAACCAGGGCCTTCAGGTGTAGCCTGGGCAACTCAGGAATTCGATATTCTTCCTTAGCCTCCTGTTGAGGGTGTGATGAGAAAAACAGCAAAAGAAAAATGTACTTCAAGAACTTGCATGGATTGAGTTTGCATAAATAAAGTAATTTAGAGCCTTTGAGTGAAGTCTACTAAAGAGTTTGGGAGTAGAACCATCAGTTTGAAAGATCAATTTGAAGAGTAGAGCACACAGACTCATAGATAGCTGGGACTGGAGGCCGTGGTTAGTAGTGTCAGATGTTTTGAGAAAGCCAAGCAATAAGGACTCAACAAAATCCTTTTTGAATGTGGTTGGTTGGTGTTCCTAAAACAGTGAAATAAGGGGAGAGGTGGGAGGAATCCCACTTCATAATGACCAAAATTCAGACAAAACAAAGTTGTATGCTGATTGAAGCTGACAGATTATGGCTCTACTAGGTAGAAGGAGAGACCTTCAACCCTGGGGTGGCGGTATGAGAGCACACACAATAAATAAAATAGAAACAAAAAGAAACAGTATACAACTGCCATAGTTTTTTTTTTTTTTTTTTTCCCTCAGACAACAGAACCAATATGGAGACTTGAGGAATTATTTTTCTGATTGCTACAAAGTAATAGCCCAGTGGTACATTGTTTGAACTATTGTAGTTTCTGTTTTATTTTTCCCAGGAGATTTAAGGATTCCTAATTCACAGTTGATGGCTTCTAGCAGGAGGGGGTAGGGAAGGACTCAAGTTTTGTTTAAAGTTTTCTTTATGGAAATTTGACTGTGTTCCCGTAGGCATATGAACTTGGTATTTTTTCTTTTCTTTCCCCGCTCCCCTTTCTTTGGGGTAGGTAACAAGGGACAGGATTTGGACACTGGAAAATGGGGAAGTGAATGTGATCAGGGTGCATTATGTGAAACTCAATCAATAAAAATATTATGTTGGGAAAAAAAAAGAACCCTACTGAGATTAGGAGTCTTGCCTCTTGTTGGATTGTTATGAAAATAACATGAGGTGATGATGGCTCAGCCAAGTGGAGGTTCCTAGGGACTATTGCTTGTGAGATGTACTGTGTCTAGTGAGACACCTACCCACCTTCCACAGGCTTAACTTACAAAGTGAGATGATGATGGCTCAGGCTAAGTGGAGGCTCCTAGGGATTATTGTCTGTGAGGTGCACTGTGCCTAATGAGACACCTACCCACCTTCCACAGGCTTAACCTATTTCTTCAGCAAAAATGTGGATTTAGAAAAGCACCAAGGAAGGTTGAACCTCGAAGATCAGACACAGGGTCAAGTGGTGAAGCATACAAGAGAAGTGCTTTGATCCCACCTCTGGAAGAAACAGTCTTTTATCCGTCTCCCTACCCTATACGAACTCTCGTGAAGCCCTTTTTCTTCACTATTGGGGTAAGAGCTCATGCCCTGGTATTTTCCTAGCTTCCTGCTAGCTCTGTATTCATCTACTGCCCTGGACGGGCTCTTGTAAGAACAGAGGGGTGGGGCTCAGTGGGACTGAGAAGCTGGCCAAGTGAATTCAAATTTCAGAATTTGGCCCCATTACATAAGTTTTGAGGAAGACATGTATGGACTTCCTATTTCGTGTAGCTTTTCTTTTCTTTTTTTTTTTTTTTTTTTTTTAAAAGATTTTATTTATTATGTATACATTCTTCTGCCTGCATGCCAGCAGAGCACACCAGATCTCATTCAAGGTGGTTGTGAGCCACCATGTGGTTGCTGGGAATTGAACTCAGGACCTCCGGAAGAACAGTCAGTGCTCTTCACCACTGAGCCATCTCTCCAGCCCCTCATGTAGCTTTTCAAGTGGCATTAAGTTGTTATTTTTATCCTATCTGGAGAGTTGTTAGAACTAGGCCTCTGGATGCTTGATAAAGCAACATGGTAGGTTTTACTGTGCTAGGTGGGATATTATCTGTGAAATATACTTCCTTTTCAGATGATTTAAATATTTTCTCTAGTTCACAGGCTGTGCATTTGGATCAGCTGCTATCTGGCAATATGAGTCACTGAAATCTAGAGTCCAGAGTTATTTTGATGGCATAAAAGCTGACTGGTTGGATAGCATACGGCCACAAAAGGAAGGAGACCTCAGAAAGGAGGTGAGAATAAACATTTCTTTCTTTATCCTAGGTAGCCACACATTTAAAAGTCTGATTATTAAAAGAAGTAGTCACAAAACAAAATTTAAAAAAGTCTGATTATTTAGAAAGTATTTTTTATTTATTTTTAAACTTTTATTATTGTGTGTGTTGGAGAAAGGTAGGGAGTGAGTGCCATGGTATTCAAATGGTGGTCACAGAACTTTTTTTTTAATACAGGGTCTCATTCTATAGTCCTGGCTGGCCTGGAACTCAGATCCACCCACCTCTGTCTCCCAAATGCTGTGAATAAAGGCATGTGTACCATGCCCAGCTTTTTATAATGGGTTCTGGGGTTTGAGCTCAGGTCGGCTGACTTGTACAGTAAGTGTCTTACCTACTGAGGCCTGGCTCTAGAAAGTTTCCTTACTTAATGGCAGCAGTCCATCCATAGATATGAAGTTGATGACATAGCATTCTTCTTTTGTGTCCTTTAACCACAATAGGTATTCACTAATGCATTTCTGGCAGTGTTATAATCGACACCATTACAAGTTTGTCCTTCAGCCCACTTGTGTCAGAATCATCATTGAGAGTTAAAGGTTTGGGAGCTCTTTTCTAGACCTGCTATAGTAGCTGGTGTTCACTTTCTTCACCCTGCTAAATTAGTTTGTAATAGGATCACAGGTACTAAAAAATAGATATGTATGTGTGCACATCCATACACATACCTGCACGCATACACACACATGTGCATGTGTGCTCGTGGTCCTTATAAACAGCCATCCAGTGAGTTTTAAAACACCGCTCTGACATGGTGTTTATGGACTGGTAAATTCCCATCGTGTTATGTTCTGTGTTTAGGATGGGATGCCAGAAAGAGATGCAGATTCAGAGCTTGCAGAGTTGTAGTTACTGTGTATGGGACTGGTGGTCTTCTTCCTCTGAACTGAGGTCTTACAAAGGTTTGTAGATATAGTATTTTTACATGTCAATACATGTTGGGTACTGAGGCCATGGGCAGCACACTGCTCAACTGCTGACTATCTCTGTAAGTCTTGAAAATGACTTTTATGTATATAAAACCTGAATTCAAAAATAGCTTTCTTTTTTATAATACTTAAACAAATGGTAGGTTATGGTATTTAAAAACCACGTTTACTAAAGAAAATTGAAACAATTTGAGTACAATGTGGAAGATGAAGGCCTAGCCTGGCACGGTAGCATGGGCCTTTGTCCCTGCTACCTGGAGATACCCGAGTCCGGGAATTTGAGGAAAGCCTCAACAACAGAGTGTGCTCTTGGTTAGAAAGCAGATTCTTAGACACTTGTTTGCACCAGTGTACATGCAACTCTGGGGACTCCCACAGTTACAGTTACAGTAGTGGGATCACATGCATTCAAGTGTGTCATTCCTTTTTAGACTTGAATTCTTTCCATATGAAAGTCTGGCTCATAGTTAGCATTGTTTTTGAGACAAGAGCTCAAATATGAACTTGTTATGTGGACAAGGATGACCTTGAGTTTCTAATCCTCCAGCTTCTACTTCCCAAGATCTGGGCTGGTAGGTGTGCACTAGCACACTGTTTTCTGTGTGCTGGGAATGGAGCCCAGGACTGTGCATGCCAGGCACATCACAGCCCTAGAGTAGTAGAATAGTTTTTACTTAAACATTTTAAACATGGAAACATTTGCAGATTGAGAAGTAGAATAATAATACTGTAGCCTGTTATTGTCCAAACAGTGGTTCCCAGCACATGGCCAGTTTTAGTTTTCATATCTTTTCCCCTCCCTTACTAGATTATTAGAAAGAAGCCATTGGCATGTTTAGTCCCTAAATATTTCAAACTATATTCTGAAAATGTAAGATTTTTCTTATGTTCTGTAGTGAGAGGTACTACTACATTAAAAGTGTGGCCCCAGGTGTGGTGGCAGAGGCAGGCGACCTCTGAGTGTCAGGGCAGTCAGGCCTCGCCTCAACAGTGAGACTGACTCAAAAAAAAAAAAAAAAAAAACAACAACCCAAAAAAACAAAGTGACAATTTTAGTAAAAAGTATAGTTTGAATTTCATTTTTTGAAGATTTATTTTATGTGTATGAATGCCTTTCCTGCCTGTATGTATGTGCACCATGTGCATGCCTGGTGCCCACAGAAGTCAGAAGAAGACACTGGATCCCCTAGAACCTGAGTTACAGGTGGTTGTGAGCCACCACGTGGGTGCTGGGAATCAAACCCAGGTCCCTTTTAAGAGCAGCTGGTGCTCTTAAGCACTGAGCAGTTCTCCAGCCCCTTCTTTCTGTTTTGAGATGGGTTTTTGCCCTGTTGCTTAGGCTTACTGACTCCTGGGCTCAAGCCTGCCTTTTGCCTCAGCCTCTTGAATAATTAGGACTTCAGGCATATGACACCATGCCTAGCACCTAGCTGTAACTTTTTTCTTAAGTTTTTTTGTTTTGTTTTAAGATACATATCTTATGTGTGTGTGCCCACAAGCATGCAGGAAGAAAGTATGTGAGTGTATGAGAGAGAGTGTGTATGTGCGTGTGTGCATGCACGAGTGTGTGTGTGAGTGTGTGTATGTACATGAGTTTGCGCACATCAGACACCAGCAGTGGCTACTGGATCTCTTGGAACTTTTTATAAAAGTGCTGGAATATGAACTTCGGTCCTCATAATTTTGAAGCAAGTGCTATTAGTCACTGAACCATTTCTCTAGCTCCTTGGAGAAACAGTTAAAAATTGTTTTGTTTTGATTTTTAAATTTAATTTTGTTTTGTTTTAGATAGGATCTCATTGTATAGTCTGGAATGTACTGGAACTCACTATGTAGACCAGGCTGACCTGAAATTCTCAGAGATCTGCCTGCCTCTGCTTCCCACATGCTGGGATTAAAGGCTTTTGCCATCACAGCCAACTCTTAGTTAACAATTTATACTGATAGTACCTTCCTCTCTACATCTTGTAGTGTAGCTCTATGCGTCACTCTCTCGGTAGGCTTCATGATGATACTGCTAGCTAACCTTTATCATCTTATTCTAGGAGAATCTGGAGTTTAGAAGTAAATGTCTTCTGTGGAGATTATCACAGACACCAATGCAGACTTAAACTTTTCCCCATTAGCACAGCACAGAAGCAGACAGTATAAGCTTGATTTGAATCTTTTTGTTTGTCTTTGGTTTTTCGAGACAGTGTTTCTGTGTAGCTTTGGGTGTCCTGAAACTCGCTCTGTAGACCAGGCTGGCCTCCAACTCACAGAGATCCACCTGCCTCTGCCTCCTGAGTGCTGGGATTAAAAGTTTGCGACACCACCACCCAGCTTTGATTTGAATCTTTAATTAACTTTCTGTAGTCTTGGCCTTGTAGTGCATTCTTATCCTATCATTAAATTCTCAGTTTTGTGTTTAACAGTATGTTCTCAGTACTGCATACATTATTTTGGGCCTTTTTTGAAGTTTAGCTCTTTTTTCCCCTATAGTTACTCATTTATATTTATACCTGCAATTAGGGAATTGTGAAAAGAATTTTGGAATGTTAAAAGGAAAATTGTGTGGGAACAACAAGGGAAATACTGAAATTGGATGAAATTAGTTACTTATCAAGGACAGTAAACTGTTTCTCTAAAAATTATAAAGGATCGTGCTGCTTAGGAGACACAAAATTAATATTATTAAAGAAGTTTCCTGTCCTCCAAATTAAAATGAAAAATGTTGTGACCAAAGGCATCATAGTTGTTGATAAATTTGGGTTGATAGATTTCTTGGTCACAGACACAATTTTTTCTTAAAGAATTCTGCAGATTATGTAATACAAGAAAATGTTTTGTTTGATAAATAATTCTTTTTATTAAATAGTTTCAGTCCTAAGAAAAAAGCACCTGCCTTTCCCCTTAGTCTGAAGTGTTTCATATAGAGTTATATGCAATTTTCCTTCTGTTTTAGATTAACAAGTGGTGGAATAGCCTAAGTGATGGCCAGCGGACTGTGACAGGTTTGTGTTAGCTTACACGTTTTAGCCATTCAAGGGAAGAGAAATCAGAACAAAAGGTACAGTATGTCACAGGCAATGGCTTTCATACCATGCTCACTGGTGGCTTAGAAGACAGGGACTGTCTGTACCAACATGCCTATGTAATAGTGTAAAATAGTGTGGGAGCTGGGTGTGATGGCCCACATCTGCAGGAGGACACAGACAGAGTTCAAGGCCAGTCTGTCTTATTTAGCAAGGCATTATCAAAAGGTGTTGCCAATACCAACAAAAAAATCTGGCATAAATGTTTTCACGATGTTCTGGATAACTTTTCTAGTTTGTATATAACATGGTAGTGACCAAAAAATAGTACAAAAAATAGTTCATGGGTAACTGTTATCTTCCTCACAGAAGACGAAGGAATGCTGGGATATAGCATAGTTGATAGAGTGCTTGGCTAGCAAGGCCCTGGGTTCAATTGCAGCACTGCACAGACCCAGAGAAGTGGCACATACTTGTAATCCTAGCACTCTGGAGGTAGAGGCAGGAGGATCAGAAGCTTAAGGGTACATGACAAGTTTGAGGCCAGTCTGGAATACAGAAAACAAGAAAGAAGCCAAAGAAGACATTACTCAAGTCACAGGGGTCTCTACTTTCTGAGCTGTCTGGAAGGAAATGGATCTGTAATTTCTGTACAGTTACATAAATAGTCAACATGATTTCTAGAGAGTGGTCTGATACTAATTACTCTCAAACAGGGTTAGATTTATTGGTAATCTGTTTCCCTTAACTTCTTGGTAGATAAAGAGTGTTTATATTTCTTCATTTAGACTGTTTGTTCTATATGAAGGTTCATTTTTCCTCACCTTATTGGAACCTGATGTGGTCTTCAAGCTTATGATTGCCATGCTTTCTTTACAAAGTGCTTTTGTTTTTCTGAATTCATTGCCATTTTCTCCTTAATAACACCAACTATCTTGAAGGTAAATGTAAGCATCTTAAGGACAACAGTGAGATCCACATATACTGTGTGTACACAGTAGCAGCAGTTAAAGTCTGTTCAAAAATGGGATCTTGAATCAACCGATAAGACTTTTTAAGTTGTCATAGCCAAAGCTGTAGAACTGATGAGTCAATATGGTCTGTAGGAGCACATCTGTTTCCCCTGAGATTAACATATTTTGTTTGCTTGTTTTCAAAAAGCAACCAAAATTAGCAACATTGCCTTAGGGTAGCAGATCTGCAATAGTTCCCCCCCCCCCAGTTATGTCTATTTATTTGTGTGTATGTGAAGTGTGCATATGACACACACCGCATGCATATGTGGAAGTCAGAGGCCGGCTATCAGGAATTGTTAAACTGTGACCCAGGGATTGAACTCAGGCTGTCAGGTGTAACAGCAAGCACAGAGCCATCCATCTCATCAGCCCTCCTCTAGCATTTTCATCGCATTTCACAGTGGCAACATATTTGAGGACCTTAATGTTTTCTCCCATTTAGTATATGAAAAGGTCTGTGATCAAACTATAAAACTTTGCTCAGTTGGTCATGGAGGTCCACAACTGTAGATGGAGTTTCTGTCCCACCCCATGCTGCAGCTGTTCAGTCCCAAATAAGCACACAGAGGCTTACATTAATTATAAACTGTTTGCCCTATTGCTTAGGCTTCTTACTAACAAGCTCTTACAACTTAAATCAACCCATAAGTCTTATCTATGTTTAGCCACGTGACTTGGTACCTTTTCTCAGTAAGGTATTCTCGTCTTGCTTCCTCTGCATCTGCCTGGCACCTGACTCTCTGTCTCCCTCTTCCCAGCATTCTCCTAGTCTGGTAGCCCCACCATATGATCTGCCTGGCTATTGCCCAATCATGTTTTATTAAGCCAGTAAGAGTGACAAATCTTTACAGTGTACAAGAGCATTATCCCTCTCCACACAACTTTACGGTGGATCTCTGAATTCAAGGCCAGTTTGCTTTATATAGTGAGACTGTTTCAAAAACGATTTTTTTTTTTCATGTCAGTAATAGTTCATTCAAAGGATTGGGGCTGGAGAGATGGCTCAGTAGCTAAGAGAATATACCATTCTTAAGAGAACCTGAATTTGGTTCCCAACACCCACATCCAGTGACTCACAGCCACCTGCAATTCCAGTTCCACAGTGATCCAACACCTCTGGCCTCTACAAGAACCTGCATGTGAACATACCCACATTCAGACACTCACATATGTATAGTTAAAGCTAATACAAATGTCAGGCACTGGGGATGTAGGTCAGTTGGTAGAGTGCTTGTCTAGCTTGCAGAGAGCCCTGAAGCCAATACTTAATATTTTATATTTTCAAGTGTGATAGTGCCTGTCTGTGAGCCCAGCACTGGGAAGGTGGAGGCTGAGGATCAAGGTCATCATTGACTACGTAGTGATGCCAGCCTAGCCTGTGCTACTACACACACACACACACACACACACACACACACACACAAAGTTGGGCATGGTGAATCCAGCACTCTGGGTGTTAAGCTAAATGCTTTCTTTGAGTTTTAGCTTAGCCTAAGTTGCATAGCATATTCCTGTGTCCAAAAAAAAAACCCCAAAATGATTAAAAATCAGAATTCTTTCCTGGGGTCCTTCTAGTTTTTTATGTTTACTAATTTTATTCATTTATTTTGTGTGGGTGGAGGGCAGAAGTTTATGCAGTGTCATCTTTGATCACTCTCCACCTTAGTCGTTGGAACAAGGTCTTGCACTGAACTGCAAACTCACTGATTTCGATAGGCTGCCTGGCCAGCAAGGTCTGGGATCTCCCTGTTACGCTTTCCCAGCATGGGGATTACAGATGTGTACTGCCACAGCTGCTTTTTATGTGAATGCTGGCCATCTGCATTCAGTCCGTTGCTGTACAAGCAGTTCACTAATTACAGAATCCACTCCACCCCTTACATGAGTCATTTCTCATGAAGAATAAAGCAGTGAAGTAATTACCACACACCTGGCACAGCTTGAGAATGAAGCAGTTTGAATAAAGTAAATGTAAATGTCACCAACAGACTGCAGAAGATTTCAGAAAACTGAGGAAATGGTCTGTGTGCCGTCCGATGTCACCTGAGACTTACTTAGTAGTGCTTTAGTTTTGCAGCATTTGGGCTGCTGATCAGTTAACTTTGTTCCAGAATTTAAAAATGTTACCTATTTTATGTGTGTTTATTTGAGTGTACATATATGCACCATGTGCGAGCATGAGCTCTTAAATGTCAGAGGAGGGAGGGCATTGGATTCTCTGGAATTACAGGCAGTTGTGATCCACTCTGTGAGTGCCAGGAACCAAACCCAGGGCTTATAGACTTACTCTCTCCTACTTTCTTTTCTGGGACTTTTGATGTTCTCTGGGGTATGTGGGTGGGTTATGCTTATTTAGTTTCAGCTTTTGTTTTTAAAAAATGTGACAAATTGTGACCTAGAGATTGTTTAGCTGTCTGAGAACTTTTCTTGATATTGCTCACACATAGGGAATGGGAGCAGGGAAGCACTAGTGGGCAAAAGTCTCTCACTGGGAAACCAAGCTCTTCCTGTGGGATTCCTTGAAGTCTGATCCTGTTGGGTCCTGAATTCGGATGGTAGGGTGTCAGATAAAGCAAGTCTGGATAGCAGAGTGTTTGGAATGCATTTGCTTTCTGAGTCCAGAGAAGTTTTTTTGGGTTCCTTAGCTTTAGGTGTGATATGAGCAGATGGTGAGGAGCCTGCACTGTGTACCATCTTTAACTGTGGAGTCTGTGTTAGGGAAGAACTCCAGTTTCGTGGAGCTGATGTTTGCTTTGGCATCCCTGTGTGGCTGTTCTGTTTCAGGCTGTTTTTGAAAAGTCACTTTTTAAAGATAGGGTAGAAAGCTCCCTTTTAATTTGTTAGTTTTGGGATGTATCATTATTGTTGTTATTTTAAATGGGGTCTTACTGTATAGCCCAGGGTGGCCTGGAATTTGCACTGTTCTTCTGTCCCTGACTCCTATTTGATTGGATTATAGGTGTGGTATAGCATACCTGGCTTTGGAAGTTTTCTTGGTTTTAATCAGAACTATCTCCTAGGCTTTCAATTGCTTGGGGAAAAGGTAGAGGGTTGTGTGTATGTGTGTGTGTGTTTGTGTTTGTATCTATGAATATATGTGTGGAAGCTAGAGGTTGATGTCAAGCCTCTTCCTCAGTTGCTCCCCAACTTAAGACAGGGTTCTCACTGAACTCAGAGCTCACTGGGTGACCAGAAAACCCTAGGATCCTCCTGTCTCCATCCAACTAAGTGGGATTACATGAGTAGCTTTATTTTTATTTTTACATGGATTTGACTCATGCTTGCACAGGAAGCTTTACTGACTGAGCCAGTCCTCAGCCCAGGAAGTAGTTTTATGTACTCTGTTGGAGTCTGTGAGGTAAAGGAGAAGCCTGAAGTAGCATTCTTCAGAGTTAGACTTGACCCTGGTGCCTTTCATTTTGGCTGCTTTCTCATTCATATCTTCATCCTGACTTTGGGTGGGTGGGTGGGTGAGGGGGTCACACAAACTTTTTTAAATGTAGTTAGATGTTGTTTTGTGGTACCAATACCTCCTTGATAACAACTTGGACACTTAATATTATGAAATCTTGGCCTTAGTTTAGGCTTTTTTCCAACTAGCTCTAGTAACTTAAAATAACCTGTCTCTCTACATTCTGCCACATGACTCAGCTATCTGTGTTTTGTTCCATATGTCCAACTTCTTCAGAGTCTCTGGTGAAATCCACCCTCCTAGGTTCCTCCTCCTCTTCCCCTCTCTCCCTGGAAATCCCGCCTATCCTCTTCTGCCTAGCTATTGGCCATTCAGCTCTTTATTAAGCCAATCAGAAGGTGCCTTAATCAGAGACATCTTTACAGTGTACAGAAATATTCTGCAACATTTCCCCCTTTTTTGTCTAAATGGAAAAGAAAGGGTTTAACTCAATCACAGTAAAACTATATATAATAAGAACAATTATCAGGTATTGTCTACATAAAAAGGAA